CTATATATACTAAAAAAAAATAGAAAATTTGTTCATCCTGGATTATTATTTCTATGAAATAATTATCCACCAGCATACCTTCATGATCGTATGGGGGATTGTTGACATTAGTGACGATATATTGAATATTGTGCTAGAAAATGTTTGTTTAATAAATATAATATCTATTATGTCTAAATTATTTCCAGATATGAATTATACAGATTTTACTTACTATTACAGGATAATTTAAAGTTTCAAACCAACCATTATTTAAGTCCATCCCTAAGAACAAAATAATCTAGAATAAAAAAGAAATAAAAATCATTTCATAATTATTTAAAAGAAAAAAAAGAAGAATTTGATTTTCTCAGACAAATGCCTCGTTTTTAGTGTCAAAGTAAGATAAATCTTACTATTCCAACTCGTCATCTATAAGTTGTCATCATAGAAAATCATATGTTTTTTTTTTGTTGTTGTTGTTCTTCGATCGGGATTCGATCCACGATACTATGTTTTATGAAATACAAAATCTAACATTAAGACAATTAGACTAAAATAGTTTCATGATTTAGCAACATTTTTGACTATTCTAAACTAATTTTTATTGTTCTAAAGATTTCATGAAAAAGAATTTTGAAGAAATTTATATTTCGTTTATGTCACAGAGTTAGCCTTTTTGAAAAAAAAAAGAAAATAAAGTTTAGAGAATTAATCCTAGATCATATTGATCTACATAAGAATTTATGTCTCTAAATGCTAATATTTTATTTAGTTTTTCTAAGGTTAAACATTGCTGTTTTAAACATAGTTTATGGTTAGAAGGATGTAGAAAAAAAATCCCCACTCTCGACTATTTATATTGTCTTAGGTCTAGTGATTTTCTTTAGACAATGCTTATGAATTATTATTTAATTGTTTTCTATATTTTTAATAGAGAAGATATATGAAAAATCTAATAGGTTGAATTTTTATTGAAGTTAAAAAGATAATCTTATAATTTCTTGGTAGATGAAAACTTTCTCTTGGTGTAAAAAAAAGAAAACTAATCATTTTCTATCGAAAAGAAACCTATTTATTAATCTTTTAATAAATAATTTCTTTCTTGCCTAGCTTTTAGATCTATTCAACAAAAATATTCTATTTCTAAACAAAAAAAAAAATTTGTTTTCAGGGTAATGAATTCGGGTTGTATATTCTATCTTCTTGTATTTCCTAACATGTATGAAAGATAAAAAAACTGGCTCTTAAAACTTTTTGTTTTAAAATTTTTCATAATATAATATCAAATCTAAAAAAAATAATAATAAAAATAAAATTTACGTCGTCATTGGTTAAGTAATTTCGTCAGATATAACGTAATACGATAAATAAATCAGCGCAATTGGTTTTTACGTAGATATGTATACAAAAAAAACAAAGAGAATATTTCAATTGTCAATTGATGTAATGCAAATATTCAATAGCAGCTAGTTTGTTTAGACTTCTTGAATATAGATAAATGAATACATTGGAATCGCCCAGTCGAATCTTTCTTCCTAGTTAGTATATTTGCCAACCAATAAGAATAATATGTCATAGTTGTCGTTATTTATTAGCCTTTATTTTATTCATTTATTTTTTTTCATCCTTAAATACATCATATCATATCGTTCGTTTAAAAATTTTTTTTCAATATTTATTTCAAAAATATTTCGTTTATTAATTTTCCACAATAAAATTAATTATCCAATCAAATGATTCCAAATGTGCACGCATTGATATAGACATTTTTCGGGTATTAGTTTCTCTTTTTTTTTCCTTTTTTTTTTGTGTACTTTAATAGAGAAAAAAAAAACATATTTGACTTTTGTTCTCAGATGTATTCTATCTCGATTATTGCATTATTTGTTATTGTTTTTCTTAATCTTACATATGAACAAGATATAGATAGAAATTCCGGTTCTTATGAAATTCGTGAACATAGTCTTAATCGACCATATCCAGCTGGTATGTTTTATTTTATTCTCCATTGTTTTTTAAATTTGAATAAAATATTTTTTTTTTGTTTATTTAGTTTTTTCTACAGCAAATTCATATTGGCATTTAATTGGTAATACACTAGTTACAGATCGATATGTTCGTTTAACATCAGATTCACAAAGTAAAGCCGGTGGTTTATGGAATACAATACCTGTAAGTTATCCTGATTGGGAAATGCATGTTCATTTTAAAGTACATGGAACTGGAAAAGAATTATTTGGTGATGGTTTTGTTATTTGGTATGTCAGAGATCCGAAATTAATGGGTAAGTACAAAAATCTGGAATTTGTTTTTTTTATATTCTTGAATAAGAAATATTTTGTTTTTTATACATTGATAATTTGTATGAATTAGAGATGTCCATCATGGTTGGAAATCTATCGCTGTCGCGATTTTTTCGAAAATCTCTTCCGTCATTGTGCTAAATTAGCTCAGTTAGCTAGAATTCGTCTTAAAAAAGGCGGTGCCACTGCCATGGACATCTCTGATATGGAATCATCAATTTCGTTGAAACCTATAAATCACATACGATTCATACTTATAAATCTTAGATTTTTCAAAATGAGTGTGAAATACTATTAAATATATTCTTATTGTTTTTCATAGGTCCTGTTTTTGGTTATCAAGATCATTTTCATGGATTAGCTATTCTTATGGATACATATTCGAATCATAATGGACCACATAATGTAGATATTTATCTCTTATTTAATAAATATAAATTAATAAAAATCAATTTTAGCATGCTCATCCTTACATATCAGCTATGGTAAATAATGGTTCACTTCATTATGATCATGATCGTGATGGTACACATACAGTTATATCTGGTTGTGAATCACCATTTCGTGGTCGAGAAACAGATACACTTGTTGCTATACGTTATCAAAACGATCGTTTAACTGTATCAACTGATATTGAAGGAAAAAATGTTTGGAAAGAATGTTTTTCAACATCGGATGTTCATTTACCAACACATTATTATTTTGGTTTTTCAGCAGCAACTGGTGATTTAAGTGATAATCATGACATTATATCCGTACATACATATCAATTAGAATCAAGTGAACAACGACGTGCAGAAGATCGTCGAAATATAATACCAGATGCTCCATCAGCTGAACCTGAACGTCCACATAGTGATGATCTAAAAGGATCAGGATGGACAGCATTGAAAATATTTTTTCTTATTATTTTCTTAATTATTGTTTGTTTGGCTGTTGGTATTGGTGCATATTATTATGTTAATCAACGACAATATCAACGTACACGGTTCTATTAAAATTCTTTTTTTTTGTTTGGTGTTAGATTTTTTCTTTTTGGTCAGCTCTGTTTTTTATGTTAATAAATAACATAAGAAGACATGTGGATTATTGTTTTTGCTTGATTTTTTTGTTTTTAGTAAATTTCATTTTTTTTCTTTTTATTCATTATTTAAGTCCTTTGTTTAATATTACAGTGATATACTCTTCCTCTCAGTCTTCTTCTTCGTGTATCTTATGTGTTCTAGACAAACAAAGAACCTGTAGTGTTTTTTTTTTAATCTTAGAAAACTTGTTATCTCTTTAAAAGGAATGTTTATACAAAAAAAAACATATTGGATGATGAACAAAAAAAAATATCACGTAAATTATTTTTATTGCACTGTTTGTATTTCATATACTTGCATAAGAAATATATTGTCCAACATAATAACTGTCACCATCAATGATTACATCCCCAGATAAATATGGCTCAATAAAATTTCCAATTTTAAATTCTAATGTTGCTGGTAAAATAAGAAAACCTTTTCCATCAATATAAACAGCCATTTGTTCTGGTTTTATAATAGTTTGATAGAGAATAATTTCTGCTGGATTTATATCTGATATACGTTCAAAATCGACTAATTGTGCAAGTGATACATTTGCTAAAGATGTATTTTTTAAATGAATACTTAAATAAATTTCAATAACTTCATCTGATATTCTTTGACCAATATTTTTAATATTAAAATAAATTGTCAAACCATCACCTGGTTTTATATTTGTTGCATTAAAACTAAGATCATAATAAAAAAAACTTGAATAAGATAAACCGTAACCAAATCGATAAAGTGGTTCAACATTTGAATAACGATATGTAAAACCACTTGTCATATCGTATCGTGTTATATCACCTGGTAAATCACTTAATTTGTTTGGCCATGTATAAGGTAATCGACCGAATTTTGAAATTCCATCTCCAATAATAGCCATTTTAAGTGCTTCACCTAATTCTTGTGCACCAAAACCTAATTGTACTATAGCTTGAATTTGATTTGATTCTTCAGCTAATTGAATATCAACTGGTGCACCAGATATGATTAAAAGAAGAATTTTTGTTTTATTTGAATTAATCGTATTAAGAACATCTTCAAGTAATTGTGATTGATTATTAGGTAAATTCATTGATACACGATCATTTCCTTCACCTTCAATTGCTTGTCCTGTACCTAATGAAAGTATAATTAAATCAAATACATTTATTTTTAAATAATTTATTATATCTGTTTGATTATAATTTAAACATCTTGTTCCATCTAAACATGCTTCATTATAACTTGTATTTAAAAAACAATCTTGTAATGAACTTAATGGTGTTGTTACATAATAAGGATCAACAATAGGTGAATAATCACCATATTGTTGTATAGGATTGTTTGACATTGGTCCAAGAAAAAGTACATTTGAAAATCGATTTGGATTATGTATTGGTAATAAATTTTCTTGATTTTTAAGTAAAACAAATGATTGAAGTGTTATTTGTCGTGCTAAATTTCTATGTAAATCAGATTGTATAATATCCATTGAAATTTTATTATAATCATTCATTTCAATAGGATCAAACTCTCCAAGACGCATTCTTGTATACATTAATGGTTTAACACGTTCAATTAATATTTGATGATTTATTTTTCCTTCATCATATGCTTTATGTAATAATTCAAACATAGTTGCATCAGGTGAATCAGCTAATTCTAAATTAACACCAGCTTCTAATGCAATAATTGCAGCTTCTTCATTTGTATTAACATAATGATGTTCAATGTTAATAAATACTAAAGCATCATCATCTGAAACAATATAACCAGTAAAATTCATTCCTCGACGAAGTATATCGGTTAATAGACGATTATTTGCACATGATGGAATTCCATTTATAGAATTATATGAACACATTATACCATAACTACCAGCATTTACACATGCATGAAATGCTGGAAGAAATGTTGAACGCCAATCAAATTCTGATATTTGTACATTAAATGAAAAACGTGATAGAGGAATATTTTCTGGTCCATTATGTGCATCAAAATGTTTACAACCTGCATTTGTATTAAGATAACGCGCAGATAATGGTCCTTGAAGACCATGAACAAAATAAATAGCAAACATGCCTGATAGATAAGGACATTCACCATAAGTTTCTTGATTTCGACCCCATAATGGATGTCTCATTATATTAATAACCGGTGAAAAACAACTTAAACCACGATGTACACCATATAAACCTTCTCTACGATAAACATTATAATGTGCATGAACTTCATATGCTGTTGCATTTGCTATAGATTTTACTAATTGTTTATTCCATGTTGATGCAAGATTAATTGCTTGTGGAAAACCAGTTGAATTTTCACTTATATCACCTCGTAAACATTCAGTACCCCAAGAATAAGGAAGTATATTTAAACGTGGTATAGGAGGTGTTACACCATCATTCCAACCACCTCCATATGCCATTTGATCAATAATTTCATGTGGAGTAAGACGTGATATAAGGTCATCAACACGTATTGACCAATCAAGTGAAATATTTCGAAAAGGAAAATCTTCATTATCTCTACATTTACCTTCTTTTATTAATCCTATGGATAGAAAAAATAAAAAAAACCATGTCATAGTAATGTTGCGACTCCTAGTATAGACCACAATAAGAATATATATTTTATTAACACTAGAAGGAGGAACGAGAACGGAGAAATAACGAATACGATGGTAGCTGGCAAAGAAGAAAACAAAACAACATCATGACTCATACACTCAGCACATGATCAAGCGCCTGGTTAAAAGGCAAACGCATCAACAAAATAATGTATATACTCAGTCAATTTTAGATTAGGATGGATCGTTTTTTAGCACATATTCGTCCTCAATCATTATTTTTGCTTTCTCCCATACGACGATTATCAGCATTTAAACCGAAATCATTTGATTTAAAAGCACGTATTGTTGGACGTAAAAAAACACTTCGTGCTCTATTAGATTTAGTTGATCAATTAGATGCATCATATTTAACTTCACAAAAAAATTTATCGATCCCACCATTAGTTGTTGATACTACATATCTATCACTAACATATCCTGATCCACATTTTTCATTACCTGGACGTATTGGACCAGATCAACAAACAAAATCTACTTCTATACAATTAAAACCAAAACTTGACCCAAATCGTTATGGTATAGATGGTAAACTTATTTTAGATGAAATATTAACAATGACTTTACCATTTGATCATCAAAAAGATTCAATAACACAATTAATGGGTACACATATGATTTTATCATCGCCAACAAATAAAAAAGAATTTCTTTCGAATTTAATTAATCATGATAGTTTAGAAGTTCGTGCATATGATTGTCCATCATTATTACGTTATGAATTACATCGTTTATTTTTAAATTATAATGTTTTAGTACAACCATTAACAGCTATAACAATTATATGGAAAACAAATTCTGATATGTCAGCATGGTCTCCTAAAATTGAAGAAGAACGAAATGAATTAACAGATCAATTTATTAAATTAGCACATGAAATGTGTGCTTATCTAGCTGCAAAACAATATTGGGCTGATTTTATTGATCCATCTAGTGGTCGACCTTATTATGGTCCACATACATCAGATACATTATTTGAAACTGATGAACGTTT